GTAGGCTCCACATCTCCTGGTTGAGGAGACTGAGTCCTAGAGTCACATCGCAGAGCCAGGACCAGAACTGAGTCTTTTCACTGTGTGTTTCTCAGTTAACCCAGGATAAACTGAGGACATTTTATTTTATATTTATACTTCCTAGTTCTGCATGTGCCACTGAACGTGCAAACTCTGATCCCTTACAGCACGTGGTTCCTCCCTCCTTGCCCAGGCTGCGGGCAGGTGAATGTGGGACCGAGGGTGGGCGGCTCTGCTCCCTGGTGGAAGAAGCCCGAGTCTGAGTGTGTGGCCACCGACCGCCTGCCTGCTGCACCGGGGCAGCCGCTTCTCAGACACAGGGAATGCCGTGCTTCTCAGTTAAGCTCCGTGCACAGGCCCGGGGGCTTCGCCTTGGAGAGTACTAAGTCTGTCATTCCAAGTCTCGCCTGAATGTGGCCTTCCTCCCTCGTTGGTGCCTCTTCATTTCTCTGTCTTCCCAAGTTGAACAGTCCTTTCACAGCAGTCATTAACCAGCAGCCAAGAACTCAGCAGACATCAAATTAAGTTCTATCACATGCTTAGAAAGAGAGATGGTTGAAGTCGGGGCGCCTGCTGCCACCTTATTAGCCTCCTTGTGTCCCCTACAGCTCGGGGCAATGCTGAAGAGCTCAGCTCCGGCCTGCAGGCTAGCTGCAGCCCTGTCAGGCAGCTCTCACTGAAACCATCCCGGCAGCAGTCAGGGTCTGGTGTGGTGGGACTTCCAGCCTGCTTCCAAACCTGCTTCATTCCACAAGGTGGCCACAGGGAAGGGCGACATCCCCAGCCAGGAAGGTGCTAAGTCTCATACCCCCACCCCCACCCCCTGCCCCCCTCAGAACTTCGGAGCTCCCAGTTCCTTTAGCTAAACTTTGTGGTCTTGTATCTCCTGAAAGAATTTGTAAAAAGTATGCCTTACTGCCCAATTTCAGGTCAACTTCTGAAATTGTATGTGAAGTTGAGACAGTTGCTGTGGTTGTGATCGCTGAGACGTGTTGTTTGCAGGAGTTTTGATACATGTTTTTGGCAAAACTTTGGCACTGCAGATTTAGTTCATTAAGTGTACAGGCAAGATGCGGCATGTAATCTAATTGGCAAAGCCAGGTCTTATGGTCAGGTGGTCTTATGGTCTGGCCAGATCAGACTTGCTTTCAAGTCTGATTTCATTTTGCTTTCCAGTTCAGAGAGACACGAGTGCACACCTTGTGACAATAGTGCCACTTCTGAATCTCTTCCTCCCTAGTTCTGCAGGTGCTACTGAATGTGTAAGTTTTGATCCCTTACAGCACAGTAACTCCTCCCGTCCCGCCCAGGCTGTGAGGCAGGCGAGTATGGGACAGGGATGGCAGTGCTGCTCCTGGGTCCCTGGATAAAGCCCATGACCCGCAGAGAGCTTGCAGCTGGGAGAAGTGGGGCGTCTCCACTGGTTCTCCCTTTTCTCTCTTGGGACTCCTCCCAGAAGGGTACCAGGGTCGGTGGGTACAACTCTGCCGGTGAGGGGGCAGTGGGTGCGAGGTGGTGTTTCTGTCCTGTCGTGGGAGCGGCAGAGGAGAACGTGGGGCTCACAGGACCCGTTCCTGGGAAGGTCAGCTTCGGGAAGGAGCCTGTGTGGAGGCTGAGGATTGAGCATGTATCTTCTTAGAGTTACCAGGGTCCAGATACTCTCTGCAAGGTCATTACCACCACAGAGGTGTTTGTACCCCAGTTTTAAGACCACTCCTTTCAGTCGCAGCAGGACCTCAGACTAGACTAGTAGTCGATGCCTGCGCTAAGGCATGTTGGCTGGATGTCACTCAGTGTTGGTCCTTGCAGTGCTGGGCAGGATGTGGCTTCTCTGGAGACCTGCACGTCACTACGGGTCAGCCATGCACTCACCTTTCTGTTCTGATCTGTCCTTCTCTAGGTCTGGAGTTGCTAGGAACTCTCCAGGTGAGCACAGCAGGGGCCTATGGCTCTCCAGGTGCTTGAAGGGCGTGTGGGAATGGAACACACTTGTTCTAGGATGTGATGTTTCAAATGCCAGAACGAGAGTCAGTGTGGGAATTAGGAGGGGACAGGCTTGATTCAGGCTAAGGAGGAAGGAGAGTTAAGGCAGGGGAGGGGGCTAAGGAAGAGGGAGACTGAGGGAGGGAGGTCCTGGTGGGGCGACTGAGGGAGGGGGCAGTGTTTTTCATCGCCCGTATTGCACGAAGTACACACAGTTTTCCCTATAGTCCTGCACGATGGATGGTTTTACCACCAGGAGCCTGGGATTTGGAGGGACTGTCAGCCAGGGAACTGGACCTAGTTCAGGGTGGTGACTTGCAACCTCTGCGCAGGGCAACCTCTCACAGCTCCGTGCCTGCTGCAGAACTGGCTGTCTGCCCCTGAGAAGCTAGCAGACACTCACTCACCTGTGCGCCCTACTCCAGTGGTCATGTGAGTATGGCTGGCAGATGCTTCAGAGGAGGGTGCGGGGGACCGCGGTGAGAGGCCGTGCCACCTCTTTGGCGAAAGTGAGGACCTGTGCAGATCTTTTGAGATGAAGTCTTGTGTACAGCGACTGGCTGGCATTCCAAGTGAAAGACCTGACCTAGTGCTCATCAGGCTGTGGACTTCGCTCTCCAGGAATGACACATGGGGAGTGGGCTCTGTGCTATAGCACCAGGTGTGGTCCATTTTTTTCTTTGTGGCGAAAAACAGGTTCGTCATCATTCTCATAGTGGTACTTTTCAGTGCAGTGCAGTGGCTCACACCTGTAATCCAAGCATTTTGGGAGGTCAGGGCAGAGGATTTCTCAAGCCCAGGAGTTTGAGACCAGCCTGGGCATCATAGCAAGACTGCGTCTTCACAAAAAGAAAGCCAGGCATGGTGACATGCGCTTGTAGTCCCAGCTACTCTAGAGGCTGAGGTGGGACAATGGCCTGAGCCCAGGAGGTCTTATGATAATCAGACATTTTCTTTGAAGATGATATTCTGAAAAGAATGCTCTCTCTCCTTCCCTTTCCTGCTCTGTCATCTACCATGAGGACAACTCTGTGTCTTCTCCTTTGTTGCTGTGTCTAGCCTGTGGCTGACACATGGTAGACAGTCAGCCAACCTTGAGGTGAAGGCAATGTGCAGGATACGTCAGAATCCCAGGGTCTCGGGCTGTAAACTGTGAGATAAGCAACCTTTTAGACCAGGAACATGTCTCTTTTAGGGTAATGGGTAGCGATTTTATTGTCAGGACCTCCAGCCCCAAGCCACTGTCCCTAAGCCACACTCCAGGAATTACAGTAAAGAACCTGCCACTGGAGTAGAACGTATTTATAATTTGATTATTCTCCATGGGGGAGGGTTTGTTGACTGCTTAGAAAAGACGATGAAAATTGTGGCTTCTCGGATGAACACACAGTTTCAGCCAACTTGTGAGCCCTTAACTGTGTCTTGAGTTAAGATTGCTGGAAAATGAGCTGCAGCCTATGGCAAGGGTGCGGTCACCACACTGCCATCCTGGATTTGAGAAGACACTGCCAGAGAACAACACAGAGAGGACACAGGCCCAAATCGGGTGTAGGGGCTGCTGGGTTGGACCTCTGGGCTCCTGGAGAACCCTGGCCTTAACTTGTGGGCCCCCTGTCTTGGCGTCCTAGATATCTGTTGCCTAGGGTTGCTTCCCTTAAAGTCTTTCCCAGATGGATGCAAAGGATCCCAGGTTTTACATAGACATGGAGAATCCCTGTGAGAGCAAGGACTGCGGGGTGGTCACCGGGTGCTATGTTGCACAGGCCTCCTCTTCCTCTTCTCTCCCAGGGTGACTCCTCCAGACTTCACCCAGGCAGACCTAGACCTCAAGTGCTGAAGACACAGATCTCACAGTGGGGCCCAGGCTTTTGGGTCCCTCGGAGTGGTTCTGTCTTCGTCTACAGAATGGGGATGACAGTCCCTATGTAATAGGAATGGTGGAGGGTGGCACTGAGCTCAGAGCTTGCGCAAGCCCTTGATCAAGTTGGCTCTTGTTACTGTTTTAAGACCAGTGACCTACGGACGTGGAAGAGGGACTGCTGGGCCAGTTCACTGCCTCTATGCTTCTTGTGTGCCCACCCTGCCTTCTCGGTCCTCTCTCCCCAGCCCCTGTACCAACAGTCTTTCCAGGGCTCAGCCAGAGACGCCATGCCTCTGAGCAGCTGGGCTCTGGCTGTTTTCTGGGACCGATGGCTCCCTCTTTGGCAACATCACTGGCGTCGGCAGTAGCTGGGTCAGGGCAGCAACAAGTGACCATGCCTTCATCTCCCTTCCCTCTGCTTTTCTTTCACTTCCTTTTTAGAAGCAGAATGTGTTGAGTACATCTGTGTGCCTAGCATGGTGCCCATGCTGGATATACACAGTTAATAGCGTAACTGCTCTTGTGTGCTCTAGGTAGGGTGGAGGGACAGTGAGCTGTAAGCGCATGGCTGTGAAGTGTGATGGGGCTATATGAAAGAGTTAGACAGATGGGGAGCTGCTCAGGTGGGGCGGCTTTCTGGGAGGGGACATATCCCTGTGGCGGGAGCTGTACCAGGTACCGCTGGGCGACATGGCAGCTCCTCCTGGTAGCTTCCCTCCTAACAGTAGTTGGCTATGGCTTAGGGGAAACCGACTCCTGGTTTTTATTGGCAAGCTGTTTTGTCAGTTAAGTTAAAGAACCGGTGGCTCTCACCTACTACTTTCAATGACTGTCCACGTACTGTATGCTGGACACCATACATTTGACACATTTCCTCTCATTTAATTGTTCAGTAGCTAGGAAGGTAAGATTGGTCACCATCCCTCTCTCCCTGGAGTCAGATATAGAATCACATCTAAGGAAAGGAGGCAGCTTGCCTGTGGCCACACTGTTCCCTCATGGAGGCTGAGGCCTGAGCCCAGGCCCGTCGGACCGCAGAGCCGGTGCCACAGCAGAGCCAGTACCATCAACTGATGGACAAGGCTCCTCTCCTCCTGTGACGTCCTCACTTACCTAGTTCTCCTTTCCTTTGCAGCAGTGCCAGTGAAGAAGAGGACACATGAAGGCCTGCCGTCCCCTTGGAAAACCACCCTCCCTCCCCTGTGTGTGTGTGTGCCCGTGTGTGTGTGACGGCCTTGCATGTCTGTGAAAGCACTGAGCAACAAACATCCTTCACCAGACATGCTCCAGACTCAGCAGGCCCCTACCCAGCATTACTGACGTTGTGCTCACTGACTACATCTCACTCTTTGGTCATGGTAGGTCGCATTAAGAGCCCTGCAGTCAGCCAGGAGCAACCCTGGGGGGTTCCTCAGCACCCTCGGTGCTGCCTCGGACGGACTCAGGAGAGTCAGCCTGTGAGCGGTGTGGGCAGCATTGCCTCGTTGGAGAAGGTCTGGAGTAAATTTCTTTCCCTGACAAAACCCCACTGTGTCCCCATTGAAGCGTGAGCTGGACTGGGGCCCAGCGGGACTGAACTGGACAGTCTCCAGGAGTCTGCTTCTGCATTTGTGACAACGTGTGCCACTAATTAGGGTGATGACTTGAAAAACAGGGTTGACGAAAGAGTTAAACACTAGGACGAAAGAGATATTTTTAGCATATGAGGTTATCCAGGACTTCAGACTCATAATTCAGTGCTGTGAAAATGAGAAAAATGATTGAAGAGGTGGAGAGGAAATGACCTTAGGAAAAAAGGACCAAAGGACTCTGATTAAAAGCTGACATCGATGTTTCTGAATTTCCTAAATAGTCCTAAATAGTCATGAAAGGGGCTGAGGGAAGCCAGATTATTGGGGTGAGTTCTGCAGGATTTATGGGCTTGTCACAGTGTGAAGGGCTGGAATGTGTATTATGAAGTGGGAATTTTTGGTGCAGGTTTTTGCTACTCCCACCCCCATTAGCCTGATTTGGCTTAAATGCAGAGTGGGAGAATTGCTGTCACCTTGTGTTGAATTCAGCTCCGTCTCCCAGCAGACAGACACCCTCCTCTTACCCTGCCTGGCATCCTTCTCCCCTGAGGATGGGCCTCCAGGTCTCTCCCACACCCACTCTCTCATCTTGAGCAGCAGAGTAGAGATGCCAGAGGGACACCTGAGGGTTGACTCATTGCCTTCCCCACCTCCATATCCCGTCTCTATACGCAGTCACCCAGGGATGCGCTAGGAGAAGCTTAAAGCCTGTGTCTTCCACTTTACTTAGCAGTGGGGTGGGAGTGACCTTATTTGTATGTGATACACACAGTTGCCAGTTACATCATAGAGCTGAGTGCTCCTGCATATAAGCCATTGGGTGAGAGAGGAGACCTGAGAGGCAGCTCTCGTTCGCCCTGGGCTGTGTCCCCCTCCTGCCTTCACTGGCGTTCGGCGCTCGGTCAGAACTGTGCCCAGGCAGCCCTGGGGCCCGTTGACCCAGGGCCTGGACGTCTAGGGCCTCTGAGACAAAACCAGGGGCCTGCACTGGGTGAGTCCCTCTTGCCTGTCTGCCCGCCTATGACCTGTGTGTCTGTCACAGGGCTTAGGACCTGCCAACTTGTGTGTGTGCAGGGTGTTTTTAAGACAAACAAGACTTGCTTGCTGTGGTGTCCTGTTGCTTCATATCAGCCCTGTGAGCCCCATCACCCCATTGAGGCCAGGAAGCTACTAGGGTTGCTAAACACAGTGGGGTGAGAGCAATAGGAGCTGCTAAAAAGGAGCAGTGTTTTTCTCTCTAGTGGATGGCCCAGAAAAGCGGCCGAGACTGTTGGGCCTCCACTTGTCCGCGAATTTGGGACACCGCTGATGACAGCCTCTGAACACTCCAGCAGAAGTCCCCTAAAAGAAGGAGCGGCAGCCACTCCTGAGTGTGCCCAACAGAAGGGGAAAGAGACTTGGGTCTGCGAGCTGCACGTCTCCCTAGTGACCATTATGTGGTCCCCAGACTGGCTCTTACGTCAGCAGCGGACAGATCGTTGGCTCTCCCACCTGATCACATGCTGTCCCTTTAACTCAGTATTTGGGAAGGGCAGGCATTTATGCAGTGGACGTCAACAGAAATGTAAAAAGGTGTGCCAGCTGTCTGTGTGTTCCTCAAGGAGAGGGCTGCTGCTTTGACTCAGAAGCGTTTTGAGTGTGCGTGATGGGCCCCTGCTGTCTTCAACACCTGATGGCGTGCTAACCAGAGAAGCGGCAGACCCAGCGCAGCCACTTCTGCCCAGGCGCCCGGGCACCTGCCAGCGACATTTCCCAGGGCAAGAGCCAGCATGCCCCTGTAGTGGCCCCCAACCTCCGTGTGTGATGCAGCCTCCCTCCTGCCAAGTCAGCGAATCAGAGCCCAGGACTGTGTCCTGGGAGGCAGGTGATGAATTCTCCAGGCAATGGGAGGCTTGGCAGTCTCTGCCTGATTTGGAATGTTGAGTTTTCTGGCTGCAAAGAGGGACTTGTTCTTTGGGTTGAGAGCACTGAATCCAGGGCGGTCCTAGGAGGTGCTTGCAGTCTCAGCTCTGATGGCTGAGAAAGCCACCTGTGCTGAGGACCAGCTGGGAGCCAGACCCTGCCCTGCACCCATTCCCCAGATGAGAAAACACGTGACCGCGACAGTTGCTGCCTTGAGTGACAAGGCCTCTAGTGACACAGCCAGGATTCGAACTCCTCAGCAGCTGTGGACAGGCCCGAGGTACCACGTGACACTCTGGAAACGGGTGAGAAGACCTCAGGTCCCCCCTGTGACTGGCAGCCACCTTATCTGAGATCTTTCTCAAAACGACATCTCATGCTGGATTTGGGCTCAGAAACAGCATCAGGGTGGTCCCTCCTCCCCAAAGCTGTTGCCGTCAGTGCTGGCTGCTGGAGCCTACCCTTTCCTCTTTGGCACCATCTTCCACAGCAGAGGTGTTTCCTGGCCACCGAGGGTGTAGGGACTTCGCAGGAATAGTGAGAGTGAGGGGTGTTCACTTTCGACTCTGAACATGAACATATCCACGACTCCGCTGCTGCAGAAAGGACATCTTCCTGTTGCGGGAACCCAGACACCAGCATGCATGGTGGGGCATCCAGTACTTCTGCGCCCTCCTGCTGAGTGTGCCCGTATGTGAGTGGCGTGATGTGTGTGTATGCACACACAGACACACACACACACAAAGTGTTTAGGACTAAGGGAAACTTGAAGCCGCCCTCGCCACCCCTGCAGTGGGTGCCTGTCGGCCTTGACTTGATGACAAGTATCACCGGGTACCTGGGACTGAGGTTCTTGCTCACAGGAAGGGAACTCCCTGGCAAAGCCTGTCGGGTCCTGAAGCCCCAGGCCAGGCGATAGCCCTCCTCTAGGGCAGCTACTGGATGGAAAGCCTAGATGTCCCGCCATTGTGGTGACCTGTGAGTCTGACCATTCCTGTCAGGCCTGAGGGCACAGGTGCAGAGGTCACAACCTTGGCATGTTGGCAGGTCTAGGAAGCCCAGTCTTCCACCCGGTCTTCCACCTTGACAGTGTTCTGCTGATGCTTGGAATTCGACACTCACTAATGGCTCTTCAGGATATGCTTTTCAATAAGAAAATTCATTGCATGTTACTCTGTGCGAATCACATCTGAATTTTTGTTTTTAAAAAAAATTCTCTATGGTTTGAGTCTGACCCAGCCCCCAGGGATGACTTCACATCTCACCCAGCATGCTTCTGAAGGTCCCGCCCTGCCCCATCCCACTCGCCATAGAGCCAGGCAGTTCCTGCCACTGGGGCTGTCTGGTGAGAGGATGTCACTTGGACCTGAGAACACACCAGGAGCAGCAGCGCCAGGGCAAACAGTGGAAGTCGGTGAGGAGACACGCGGGTTCACAGGTGTGAGGAAAAGCCCCAAGCCAGTGCTGAGTTTGCCCTGATCTGGAGGGCACAGAGACTTGCACGTGGTGGCCTGGTCTCCCACAGTGATGGGTGCCCACGTGAGGGATAGCGGCGACCCCACCATTCTCCCCTGCTTCCTGTGCAGCCACTTCCCTCCCTTACCATCTTCCTCCACCCACCACATTCCACAAGGGGACTGTGTGTTTGAGTCAATGTTTCAGTACATCATCTTCATCCTTTAAATTATTTTGTAAGAGAGATTTACCGCTGCCCCAGGATGCTCGGACTCAGCACCCTGTGCATTTGGAAATCAATAAACTATTACTGGAAATGCCGTTTGTCTCTCAGCTGTGCACAGGACCCTGCTGGGTGTGAATATTCATGGCGTGCTGCATGCTTGGTGGGGATGATGGCGACTGGTGATTGGATGGGGGAGTCTGGCACCCTGCCTCTCTGAGGACCTCAGGAGATCTCTTGGAAGTGGCGAAAGGAGAGACAAGATCAGTATTACTTGGAGATGTGTTTTCTCCTCAAAGTAAAACAGTCCACACCTAGGTTAAGTTGTATGAGCAAAGTAGATCATAACCTAAAGAAAACTTGGTGCTGAGTGATGTTTCCAAGTGACGTTAAAGGCTTAGAATTTGGTTTAACTAGGCAGAAGGTCAAATTTTAATTTTTACTGTATTTTAGGGGAAGAAATCTGAATACACAAATTACAGTTAGGCCAGCAAAGTCATCTTTGTGGAACTTAAGTACATGTTTGCATATCATTGATGAGGCAGACTTACGCAGGCACAGTGATTCCATCTGGTCTGTATGTTAGGACCAGAAGTTGCATTGAAACGGGAAGTCACATGATCAGAAGCCTTCACGAGCCAAATGTGAAGATGCAGGGTGGCAGACACTGTGCGAATTAGCAAACACCAGACCCTGGCAGGACGCATCCACATTCAGTCTCGACAGATCCTGAAACCACCAGCAGGTGTATGGGGGGGGGGCTGTGGCGTGTGATCCCTGCTTCAAATGAGGTGTCTTCCTTGGACCCTTTGAGGTAGCTGGGAACTGGGAGGACCTTCAGGAAATCATCTGGGACAGGGAGATAGGTCATTCCAGGCTGCCCACGAAGCCAGGATGGAGGAGCCCAGGACAGCAGACTGTCTGTCTCCTGTGGCACTGCCTCCTGGGCCTCCGCCACCTCCATGTCTCCTCTTCAGCCCTGTTGGCCGTCACCACCAACCGCCACAGCACTTGGGAGTCCTGAGTGTCTGTACAAACCACAAGCGTCAGAAGGTCTTCTTGCCTTCTCCCTGGTGCCACTGTGTCAGTGCCACGTCCCCTTGCCCCAGCCTATCCCCATTTTGTTGCCCTTCCCTCTGAAAGCCACAACTCTTGGTTTGGTTTTATCGATATCTGTTGGCCTAACTCTCCCATAGCCCCATTTCCTTCGTGCTCGTTTAAGAGTGAAGCTGCAGTTTGCCTGGAATAGCTCCTGGGTCAGAGTGAGTAACTAAGACGGAATTGGAAAATCTGGAGACACCACCGGAAAGTCATAATGAAAGACGTCACGGAAATGGGAACTCAAAAGACTGCTGTAAGCCTCTGGCTGCCATACTAAGTGTCTGTTGCAGATTGCAACCTCCAGGTTAGTCATTCATTCTTGTTAGCAGTGAGAGCTACCGTGCAGGGAGCTCATTCTCTGGGCCAGGCCCTCTCCTGGTTACTTTTCACATTCTTACTAGTTCTCACAGCAGCGACACCATCATCGTCCATTCCATTGCTCAAGAATCAGATTCAGAGAATTAACCTGGTAAGTGGGAAGCCAGGGCTTAAGCCCAGGCCTGTCAGGCCCCACACTCCTGCTCCCACTCCTCTGCTAGCTGTGTGGATTTTCCCTTGTGCTGGAGAGTGATGTCACTGCCTCTCTGG